CTTTGTATGTGGGTACTTATCTATAAAGCATGTATTGCAAAACTAATGTAATGCTAACCAAATCCTTTGTTCTTACCTATTAAGGTGATAATAGGATTATTAATACATACATTTGGTTATCAGATATCACCTGATGAATGGCTTGGATATTGTTGACAACTTAATATTCTCAATTTCACAAAATAATGCTGAATAAGGTTCATGTAAAAAAATGATTTGTTTCTAGATTAGTAGTAGAAATGATAGTTATATATATATAAAACTGATAATTATATAGAAACTGATACTTTATATATATTTAGAAAGACTTATTTATTTCTTTTGGAAAGACAAATTTGCAGGGAGGAAAGACAGAAATTTCTTCCACCCGCTGGTTCACTCTCCAGATGGTCATAGTAGCTGGAGCTGAGCTGATCTCAAGCCAGGAAACAGGAGCTGCTTCTGGGTCTCCCATGTGAGTGCAGGGTCCCAAGGCTTTGGGCCATCCTCGACTGCTTTCCCAGGCCACAAGCAGGGAGCTGGATGGGAAGTGGAGCAGCCAGGACATGAACAGGCACCCATTTGGGATCCTAGTGCATGCTAGGGGAGGATTAGCCAGTTGAGCCAAAACACTGGGTCCTGATCATTATATTTTCTGGGATTATATATGTTTATTTTTTGTTAAAATCCTGTATCAAGGGGGCTTCCTCAAAATGCATTTATTGAGATTGGAGTGGAAAAAAGGGAACGTTAATATCTAAGAAAGCATTATTTGATTAGAAATTGGTCTTTAAATATTAAATATACTCCTGTCTAGCTTCTGTGTAATCTGAAATTTAATTTGGGAAAGAAATGTGACTTTGTGGGTATGTAGCAGTAATGGAAATAAAACTGGCCATTTTATGATAATATGATAGAAGCTTTTTTATCATGTTTCCCAGAGTATAAAAGTTTTTTTTTTTTTTTTTTTTTTTTTTTTTTAAGATTTATTTTTATTATTTTCTCATTGGAAAGGCGGATATACAGAGAGGAGAGACAGAGAGGAAGATCTTCCGTCCGATGATTCACTCCCCAAGTGAGCGCAACGGGCCGATACTATGCCGATCCGAAGCCAGGAGCCTCTTCCGGGTCTCCCACGCAGGTGCAGGGTCCCAAAGCCTTGGGCCGTCCTCGACTGCTTTCCCGGGCCACAGGCAGGGAGCTGGAAGGGAAGCGGGGCTGCCGGGATTAGAACCGGCGCCCATATGGGATCCCGGGCGTGCTAGGCGAGGACCTTAACCACTTGCGCCACCGCGCCGGGCCCCAGAGTATAAAAGTTTGAAAAAATATCTATGTAAGTGGCCTGGGGCCTTTCACCTAAATGAAAACGATGGCTGAGGACTAAAACCTCATTAGAATGCCTCTAAATTTGGTGTAGCTGCTGGACTGGGTGCCCAGTGAGTGGGCTGGCTTTAGTCAGCATGTTCTATGTTCCCATTTAAAAATTTTTACAAGTTGTATGCTGCTAAAGGTTTATATTTATAGATGTTTATGTGACTGAGAGCAGGATAAGTGAATTTGCTGGATAGTAATATTTGCTACTATTTATTGAACTCTAACATGTGCCAGGTTAGAATTACAGGGTGAGAGTTATTTGAAGGCAGAAGAGGAATCCACAAGGTCATGTTGAATTTATTTAATATGAAAGCTGCAGTTCATAGAGCTCTTTCTTGGCGCTAAGGTCCACAGTAGACCTTCTGTGATGTCTAGGCACTCCCCAGGCCTTGGGAGAGAGGCCCATCAGAGCTGAGGGTACTGAGGCGCTGTAGAGGCGAAGGAGCTGGGAAGGGCCAGGAGCCAGGCTGGTGGTGTCCTTCCCACTGACCTGCACTAATTGGATCTGCTTATCACCAGTACCTACTGCCCCCCAACCCCTCTTCACTTGCCTTCCCCTGGCACTGGGATGAGTTTGGCTTATGATTTTACATCTTAGAGGTAAATGGGAAGGTGGATGTTTTGTTAACTTTTGTTAATAAAACATGTGTCTAGCGTGGTAGTCTAGTGTCTAAAGTCCTGGCCTTGCATGAGTGGGAACCCATATGGTTACTAGTTTGTGTCCCAGCTGCTCCTCTTCCCATCCAGCTCCCTGCTTGTGGCCTGGGAAAGCAATAGAGGGTGACCCAAAACCTTGGGACCCTGCACCTGCGTGGGAGACCTGAAAGAAGCTCCTGGATCCTGCCTTCAGATCAGTTCAGTTCTGGCCATTGTGGCCACTTGGGGAGTGAACCAGAGGATGGAAGCTCTTTCTGTCGTTCCTTTCTCTAAATCTGACTTTCCAATAAAAATAAACGTTAAACTTTTTTTACCTTTGTGTCGAGGGAAGCTATTTCCTAAATTATTGGTAAAATGACAGCATGGCGTTTGTTAACAAATTATTCAACTATGGCCATAGTTGCTCAGAAATTGACTTCTTTTGAATGATGATATTTGATTGTAAATGAGTTAACCTCTAGTTAAATGAGTAAGGGCTAAGAGGGTGTTCTACTGTCTGCTTCCCAGGGTTCTAACATCCAGGTCCTGTTACGAGTGTTGAATGCAGCCTCTCTTTTTGGTATTGAGCTGTCTTCTGAACATTTCTTTCTTTCTTTTTTTTTTTTTTTTTTCTTTGAATCGATGGTCTGAATCAGAAGGCCCTCTGGTTCTCTCTGCTGACGTGATGTTTGTTGATGGGTAGTCCTAAAAAGCCAGACTGATGAGATTAAATCTGCACTTGGACTTGTGTTTTTAGTGAAATGGTGTGAGATTCCTTTCACTGTTTACCTCCAGGAAGGGGACTTTGTAGTCTGTAATTCGTAAGTCTGTCTCGGTAATCACCAAAGGAAATGGGTCTTTTTCTGGGGATGATCAAGTGAGCAGATAATGCTGCTTACATTCTTGCGCCAGTGACTCTCCTTGGGGTTAGCTTTGTGATGTAACTAGTTCTTATCTGATTGTTTCACCTTTTTGCTGTTGGAGATTCCTCCTTTCTATAGGTTAAAGTGAACTGAGGCATGAATTTTCTGCTTTTGTAAATTCCACTCTAATACAAATAGGGCCATTGTCTGCTGACACCATTGGGATTTTATGCAGAATGCTAGGCAGTCCTTTCCTCTGTCAGAGTAATTTATGTGCAATAAATCTGATTATTTTTAGAAGCTTGTGTCTTTGTTGCACAATTTCACCAATCTATTCATTGAATTTGCCTTACTCCTTGCCTGCCTGATAGTTCAATATAATTAGGTAAACAGCTTTCTTTTTGGTTTGTACTAGAGTAAACCTTTGTGGTCACTAATGATTGGTATTGAGTTTCTCTAGCTAGTAATTTCCCTAGTAGAGAATTTAAGTACTAAACATAAAACATGAAGTTTGCTCTATTTTTTTCTTGAAGATTTATTTATTTTTTTATTGGAAAGACAGATTCACAGAAAGAAGGAGAGAAAGATCTTCCATTCACTGGTTCCCTTCCCAAATGGCCGCAGTGGCCAGAACTGAGCCAGTCTGAAGCTAGGAGGTAGAGCCTTTTCTGGTCTCCCACATGGTGCAGGGGTCCCAAGGTTTTGGGTCGTCCTCTGCTGCTTTTCCAGGCCACAAACAGGGAGCTGGATGGGAAGTGGGACAGCTGGGGACATGAACCCATGCCCATGTGGGATCCTGGCAGTTGCAAGGCAAGAGCTTGATTCGCTAGGCTGCTGCACCAGGCCTGCTGTATTTTTTTCCAATTTTTAAAAACAGTTTATTTTTATTGCGAAGTCATATATATATATATAGAGAGAGAGAGACAGAGAGACAGAGAGAGACAGAGAGGCAGAGAGGCAGAGAGGAGAGGAGAGAGACAGAGAGGAAGATCTTCTGTCCGCTGATTCACTGCCCATGTGGCACAGACCGGATCTGTGCCAATCTGAAGCCAGGAGCCTGGAGCTCATATGGAATCCCAGCACATTCAAGGTGAGGATTTTATCCATTAGGCCACTGTGCCGGTCCTTCTTTCTAAATTTTTAATGTTTAAATATTTATGGACAAAGAGGGAAAGATCTTGCATCTGCTGGTTCATTTCCCAAATAATCACAGTGCCTGAAGCTGAGCTGGTCTGGGGCTAGGTGCTTTTTCTGGGTCTCCTACACAGGTGCAGGGTTTCAAGGCCATCCTCTTGTTTTCCCAAACCGTAAGCAGGGAGCTAGGAGTGGAGCAGCTGTGAGTCGACCTAACACTTATATGGAATGCCAGTACTGTAGGTGGAGGATTAGCCAGGTGAGTCACTGCGTGAACCTGTTATTTCTTCTCAATAGTGTATTTTGAATGTGATTAATTAATAACATTTACTCAATTAAGGTGTATCCTGGTAATGTTTAGCAGTTTACTTTGATGTGGCAAATACAGTTTACAAATATTTCACCTATATTGCTGGTTTATTCACTTGAGAATCATATGACTACTGTAACATTATTTTGAAATTATTAGTTTTAGTATTATTTTTAAAATATGTTAAAGAGCTGAGACCTATCAGTATAACTTGGTTGGGGTGATTCAATTAAGTGGGAAGGTTAGGACCCAAACTTGTCCCCATTCTGAGTTCTTTCTGCCATATTCCAGTAATTAGGTGCCACCTGATTTACCCTAAATCAGCAACTTATGGCCAAGAGATCTTTAAAAATATGTGTCCTTTTCAGTAATAAAATGACATGCTATAAAGGATGTTACTACTAATTAAAATGCAGCTGTGATTTAAAAAAATTTGTATTGGAATCAAAGTTATTCCTACAGAAAAGTGACTTTAGTGAAAACAGAAGTATGTGTTATTTTTGTCCTCTTGCCAGTGCCTAGAATAGTGTCTGCAAGTGGGTCATTAACTGAACTCACTTTCTCATGCTTTGGTAATCCTCGTGGAGGGGTGTGGGGGAGAGTGAAGGCTCGTGCTGTCTTCTGCCTTCTGCCGTTGCTTGGAGCAGGTGCTGTATGGGCGCTATTCAGGACGCCTTGGAATTGTCTTTGGAAATTGATGAGGGCTTTTAAAAGATGGTGTGTCAGGCTAGCACTTGAATAAAGGTGTTTGAGACCCAGTTGGTTGTCAACTGCTGTTAACCTGGTGGCTGCTGTTACTCTGAGTATTGTCATTTTGTTAGACTCTGGCAGTTCCTTTTTCCAGTCTGATTTTTTTTTTTCAACTTATGCTGTGTGCTAGGAAACTAGATTAATGGTTTTCAGTGTGTTTGGTGTACTTGGGCTTGCACTGAGCGAGACCCTCGATGGCTGAGGTGTCTGTGGCTGTGTTTAGATGGCTTGAGAGCTCTGCTTTGTGCAGCAGCTGCTTTTTCAGTGTCTGTTCCTGCCAGTCCTTTGAATAGGCAGGATTGTGGAACAACTTTGTTCAAGATTGGAAAGTTACTAGTGCACCTGAACAGCCTTAGGATCAGAAGTGTTTCAAATTTGGGGGATTTTGGGAGTTTTGGAGTACTAAACTGTGAGTTAAACATTCCCTAACCACAAAATCTGAAATATGATTTGATGAAAAACTTTCAGATTTCTGGGTTAGCAGTGTTCTGCCTGTTTAGTAAATGATTTACGAAAGAAGCCTCAAGGAGCCCCTGTTGGGACAAAGTGAGTAAGCCATTGTGCTGATGCTGCTAGCCCATTTGGGTTTGGGTCCTGCACTTCCCATCCAGCCCCTGCTGATGCTCCTGGGAGGCAGTGGAGGCTGACCCGAGTGCCTGGGTCTGTGGCCATTTGGAGAGTGAACCAGTGCATGGAAGATCTCTAACTTCCGTTTCATTTATTTATTTACTTATTTTTGTTTAAAGATTTATTTATTTTTTTAAATTGGGAAGTCAGATAGACAGAGAGGAGGATTTCTGTCTGATGATTCACTCCCCAAGTGGCTGCAATGGCCGGAGCTGAGCCTATCTGAAGCCAGGAGCCAGGAACTTCTTTCTGGGTCTCCCATGTGGGTGCAGGGTCCCAAGGCTTTGGGCTGTCCTCGACTGCTTTCCCAGGCCACAAGCAAGGAGCTGGATGAGAAATGGGGTTGCTGGAATTAGAAACAGTGCTGGGATGCTGGTGTGTGCCAGGTGAGGACTTTAGCTACTAGATTACTGCACTGGGCCCATCTCTGCAACTTTTAAATAGATAAATAAATAAATCTCAGGAGGTGGCGGTGGAGGGGATGATGTGGGGAAGGGAAGAGAAGATTGATTTTAAGACAGAAAAGCAAAGGGGAGAGCTAGGGAGATCTTCACTTACTGACTTGCCCCTCAGTGGCCACAGTAGCCAAGGTTAGGCCATGCTGAAGCTAGGAGCAAGAACCTCTCTGCTCCCGTTCAAGTGGCAGGAATTCAGGCCCTGGGAGCGCCTTCTGCTGCCCTCCCAGGTGCGTGGAAGCAGGGCAGCTGGCACTTGAACTTGCACTCTGATGTGTCTGGAATGGGATATCAGTACTGTACAAAATGACTTTTATTAAGTTTTCGGTGCAATTATATTTGCAGCACCAAGCATATGGTAAAGATATTTATGAATGGAATATTTAGCTGTTAGTTACAGGATTCTTCAAAAAGTGTATCCAGATGTTTGAAAATCAGGCCAGCTGATTGTACAGTGTGATGTACAGTTCCTTAAAAATTAAGTGCTGAGTTTTCACAGCTCTCCCATTAGGAGATAATTAAGATGGAAGCAGGGAGGTTCTGTTGTTTGTGAGGGGTGTGTACGCAGTGCTCCTTCCCAGGTTCCCAGGCAGCTTTCTCCAGTGGTCTCACCGTGGGCAGCCTCGCCCCCAACCTGTGACGCCGAGCTATCAGTGGCTTCCCTGCAGTGTGAACAGTATGTCTTCCACTTCATCATTGTTGTTTCTTCTTTTCCAGGAGTTTCCCAACCGCATAACCTCTCAGAAGTGAAGGAAAGCAGTGTTCCCAGAACGCCCTGTTTCTGAGGTACTTCAGTTTCACTTTATAATTTCAGACTGTGGTAATCAGTGGTACTTGAATGATTCTTCAGTGACTTGTAATGAAGCTGATTTTTACTTTAGGCTGTGATGCTAGAATAACATGAAATTTCTTGTTTGATATATTTTTTTCTTTTTAAATTTATTTGAAAGGTGGATTTTATAGAAGGAGAGACAGAGAGAAAAAAGAATATCTATTGGTTTACTCTCTAAATTGCTGCAGTGGTCAGAGCTCAGCCCAACAGGACCCAGAAACTTCTTCTGCATCTCCCAAGTGGTTGCAGGTTCCCAAAACTTGAGCCATCTTCTACTGCTTTCCTAGGTCATAAGCAGGGAGCTCGGATGGAAGTGGAGCAGCCAGGACACAAACTGGTGCTCATGTGGGTTGCTGGTGCTACAGGCAGAGAATTAGCTTGCTGAGTCACTACACTACCCCACTATTTTTCTTTTTGATTCTTGATTTAACTGATACATGCAGGAACAGTTACTGTTGATAGGTATATGAAACTGGTTAGCCTGAGCTACGGTGTCAATGTAGTGAGGTGAAAACTGGCCACTGAAGTTGTTAAATTTAACTTGCTTAATAGTATCTTGGTGATTGAAGCTTTTTCTTTAACCAAAGGTTATTTTTATTGGAAAAGCAGATCTACAGAGAGAAAGCTTTTCCATCCACTGGTTCACTCCACAGATGGCTGCAGTTGCTGCAGCTGGGCCAATCTGAAGGCTGGAGCCCATAGCGTCTTTCAGATCTCTCACATGGGTGCAGGGACTCAAGTACTTGGGCCATCTTTTTCTGCCTTCCCAGACACATTACCTGAGCTGGATTGGAAGTGAATCAGGCAAAACCCAAACCAGCACCTGTATGGGGTGCCGGCATTGCAGGCAGAGGCTTAAGTTACTATAACAACTCCAGCCCTGATGATTAAATCTTTGTCAGCTTGGATTCTTTTACAAAGCCATTTATTTCTTGGATTGCTTATATTAAACTTGGTTTTCACACTTAGGGAACTAATTCACCATTTTTTGTTGAGGTTATGAATCATGCTGTGTTTGCCACTTGCAGCTTGTGATCATCCAGCGGAGAGAGAGAAGTTTAACAGGTCCAGAATTTTACATTTGGTAGTTTAGGGCACTGCAAAATGTGCCTCATAGAGTAATGTTGTGTGTGTGTGTGCTTTACAATTTAGCTTTTGGGTCTTACACATGGGTCCAAGAGCCCAAGCACTTGGGTCCTGTTCTGTTGCTTTCCTGTACTTAGAAACTGGGAGCTGGATCAGAAATGGAGCAGCAGGGACTCAAACCAGTGCTCATATGCTGGCATTACAGGCAGTGGCTTTACCTGCGTGCCACAGTGCTGGTCCCAGTGTATATGTGTGTTTGAAAACTATCTGTGAGGGGGAGGGAGTTTAAAAGAAAGCTCTATTTGTTTGAGTGGCGCAGTGACGAAGTTCTTTTCAACAGGAAGTTCATTCCCCAGAGAGTTGCAATACCCAGGGCTGGGCTGAAGCCAGGAACCAGGAACTTCATGCGCGTATTCCATGTGGGTGGGCCATTATATACCACCTTCCCAGGTGTGTTAACAGGGAGCTGGATCAGAATGGAGCAGCTGGCACTGAGCCGTGTCTGTGTGTTTGTTCTCCCTTTCTCTGTAACAGCTGAAAGCACAGTGCTTGTCAGAGCTGTGCCCTGTCTCTGGGGAACTCCTACTTAGACCTGCTAACCAACTTTTCTGAGTTGGAAGAAATAAGCATTAGGATGCAGAGAAGTTGTGCCTCAGGGTGTGCATTTGTACTCATTCCGTTGAATTTATATAACTTCTATTTTTCAAAGGCTGAGTTAGAGGCTTCTTCTGTTCGCTGGTTCACTCCCCAAGTGGCCACGATAACTGGAGCTGAGCCCATCTGGAGCCAGGAGCTTCCTCTTGGGTGCAGAATCCCACGGCTTTGGGCTGTCCTCTGCTGCTTTCCCACAAGCAGGGAGCCGGAGTAGTTGAGACACAAACTGGCGCCCATATGGGATTCTGGCACTTGAATGGAGAGGATTAACCTATTGAGCCATTGCGCCAGGCTCCATCTTTTTTTTTTTTTTTTTTAAAGATTTATTTATTTTTATTGCAAAGTCAGATATATATAGAGAGGAGAGTAAGAAATATCTTCTGTCCAATGATCCACTTCCAAAGTGACCACAATGGCCGTTGCTGCTCCAATCTGAAGCCAGGAGCCAGGAACCTCCTCCAGGTCTCCCATGCAGGTGCAGGGTACCAAGGCTTTGTGCCGTCCTTGACTGCTTTCCCAGGCCACAAGCAGGGAGCTGGATGGGAAGTGGAGCTGCTGGGATTAGAACCGGTGCCCATGGGGGATCCTGGTGCCCATGGGGGATCCTGGTGCGTTCAGGGGCGAGGACTTTAGCTGCTAGGCCATGCTGCCGGGCCTGATTTTTTTTTTTACAGTGGGTGGGTAATACCATTTTTTCCACACTAATATTATCGTTTTTCCCTGTATCTGGGGTTAGGGAAGTAACAAAGGGAAAAGCCCCACCCAACTTCCCACCCATCCCTGATCCCCAACAGGAGGGGTACTGATAGTTCATCAGTTCTGGATTGCTGCCAATCTCAAAGTTCCAATCGCAATGAAACCTATTCAGAGTCCACTGGCTGACAGTCTCTTGATGGATGGGGTTCCAAGATCAGCAGTTCAGTGGGAAGGAATCTCCAAAGAAACTTCATCTGAGGTGATCCCAGATATGATTCTTGAGTAAGTTTGCTAGTACAGACTCCAACACCATCTGTCACACCAATCAGCTTATGCACATGCTGGTCATTGCGATTGCTGGGTCCATTCTGTTTAATGTAAATAATACTCTTAAGATAGATTTTTGAAAGAGTAATGTGGCGGTGGGGAAGACAAATATCTCCATCTTGGCAGTCACAGGGAAAAAAAATGCAGTGAAGCCAGGTCACAACTGACTTCTAAATGGTTCTAGACTTGTCCCTGGACAATCTTAACTCTTTAGAAGCTTCAGAGACCCTCCGCTGTTTGTTTGTTGTGATTCCAGAAGTAAACAAGGAACCGCTGCACCGTTGGGGTGCTGGTGAATGAGGCCAGCGGCCTCTGCTGGCCTGGCCCTGGGTCAGCTTGGTGTCTTTGGGTTGTGCGCTCCTCTTGCTCTCGGGGGGAATGCGCCAGCACTCCACTGCCTAACTTGTTATGGTCGTTTATCTCTTTCTAGAGGTTAGGCTTTAGAAATCATCTTGAGGCTTTACAAAAATTAAAGTAACATGCAGTTACTCTGTTATTAGTTGATGTCTGGGTTACTGCTGCTTCGGTTGACTACTTCCTGAGAGATTTGTCATTTCTGTTCTTTTTTGCTGTTATTTTGAAATACTTTTGATTGGCTTAAAGCATTTTCTCCTTTTTGTGGGATGGCAATGAAAATGAGCAGTGATGTCTGTACAGTTTAACTTGCAAAGAGATTGAAATTTATTTAGAAATGATGTGATGTCCAGCTCCCAAGCTGAAAGACTCTCTCGTGCTCCCTCCTCCAGCCTCAGTGGAGGTTTTTCAAGTCTTGTCTCTTGCTTCTCTTCTCTGATTCTGCTGGTAGCAGTGCAGACACCACAGCACGGTCTTTGCTGTGCGCCCCATATCCTAGCATAATGAGCCATGATGCAAAAGTTTTCTTGTTTAGAATCTATGATTAAATGAACTATCTGGAATATCTTAGAAAAGCACATCTTTTGTCACCATAAAGACAAAGACATAGCAGAAATGGGAAATTTCCACTTTCCTTCAGCCAACTTAAAATTTCTAAGGATGCCAGTCTGAATGTGTGGCCCTTAAATGAAATTGTTTGTATTACTTATCAGTGATGTTACTAATCCCATTTTCTTTTTCTTTTAAAATTTAGTTTATTGGAAAGTTATATCTACACGGAGAAGGAGAGACAGAATGTTTTTTTTTCTGCTGGTTCATTCCCAATATAATGGCTGGAGTTGAGCCAATCCAAAGCCAGGAGCTAGGAGTGTCCTTTCTGGCTCCCATGTGGGTACAGGGTCCCAATGCTTTTGGGCTGTCTACTGCTGCTTTTCCAGGTGAGGATTTAGCTACTTATCCATCACACTGAACCCAGTTGCTCATAATTTTGACACCAGAAACTTTTGACATGATATTAAAAAAACCTCATTAAAAAAAAAAGCTCAGGGCCCGGCGCGGTGGCGCAAGTGGTTAAAGGTCCTCGCCTTGCACTCACGGGATCCCATATGGGCGCCGGTTCTAATCCCGGCAGCCCCGCTTCCCTTCCAGCTCCCTGCCTGTGGCCTGGGAAAGCAGTCGAGGACGGCCCAAAGCTTTGGGAACCTGCACCCGCGTGGGAGACCCTGAAGAGGCTCCTGGCTTCGGATCGGCATAGTATCGGCCCGTTGCGCTCACTTGGGGAGTGAATCATCGGACGGAAGATCTTCCTCTCTGTCTCTCCTCTCTGTATATCCGCCTTTCCAATGAAAAAATAATAAAAATAAATCTTAAAAAAAAAAAAAAAAAGTTAATGGGCCTAGTGTCACCAAAGACCTCACCTTGCATGTACCAGGATCCCATATGGGCACTGGTTCTAATCCCGGTGACTCCGTTTCTCATCCAGCTCCCTGCTTTAGCCTGGGAAAGCAGTCTTAAGACGGCCCAAGGCCCTTGGGATCCTGCACCTGCATGGGAGACCTGGAAGAAGTTCCTGGCACCTGGATTTGGATTGGCTTAGCTCCGGTCATTGTGGACACGTGCGAGTAAATCAGCAGACAGACATCTTTCTCTCTTTCTCTCCTCTTTCCTCTCTGTGTATCTGGCTTTCCAATAAAGATAATGAAATCTTTTTTAAAAGATTGAATTGTGAATGTAAGTGTAGTTGGCGATTTTTAATATCATGTAATATTATTATACACTGCTGATTTCTCTTTGTGAAAATAATGGAGTGTGTAGGTATTATAAATCACTTTAAAGATAGTGGGAAAGCTGTCATGTCAGAAGACAACTGTATTCCAAGCAGAAACATATTCGTGTTCAAATCAGCAAAGCTATATGCTATACTGGGACTATTTTAAAATATGAGTAGTTGACACTGATTTTGAGTGAAAGTTGGGCATTGCTTATCTCCTTATAATTTACCTTTTTATTTTCTTTCCCTTGAATTTTTTGGGTAGAAGTTGAGACTTCATAATCCTAAATTAACGTGTCCTGAAAGCTGTTAGCTGCAGTTGTTTGCTTTTTTCTCAAGTTCAAGATAGAACCCATCTGCCACAGTCTCAGGGAGCCCAGAATTGACTGAGCAGGACCCAGTCTCTTCAGAGCCTTTGATGCGCAGTCCTCCTGCCAGCTCTCTGCCCTGTGAAAGCGCAGGTAGCCCTTTTCAAAACTCTGCCTTACCCTTTGCAACTGTTACCACTGCCAGTGTAGCTGCAGGTAAGCATATGAGCCAAACTGTGTTCTGTTGAAATGTTAAGTGTAGGGAACTCTCAGAAGCAGGAGAGTATTGCTCCCCACCCTTCTTCATCCTTGACCCCAACAGTCTCTTGTGTATGGAACCTGATAGGAGGTCTTGGTTACTTAGTGCACTAACCAAGGTTGTAAGTTTGAAGAGAATTGAAAATTACTCAAGCTGTAAGACTGATACGCTAGACAGGAAGAACTGAGCAGTAAATACCACTTTAGATATTCATTGATCCCTGGGAAAATTCTACTTTTGAAATGATTTCCCAGAATGGACAAGGAACTCTTACTTGTGCAAGCTCCCTTTTTGTACGTCTGTGAGAATTTTATGTCAAGGCAGGGGCAGTGAGATTTATTGGAAGGCAAAGAAGTGCATTGTTATAGGCTAATTTTTATTTTGAACAAGTGAGTTTAGATCTGGAAGTTTCCAGAAACCTTAGTGAGGACCAGTTAGAAGTTAAAGAAGCACAAATTGCTTGAAAGCAAATAAATTTACAAGCATTCAGCTCTGATTATTAGAAAAATGCTCGTGTGCACTTTCATAGGGCAGAGCCATTGCATCAGTGAGGTGTTAGTGTGGACTCTCCATGTGGAGATCTTCAAATAGATTCCTTTCAAGCCCTTCCTTGTATCTAACAGTTCCCTTTGCATTTCCCCCTTCTCCCTCTGCTTCCTTTGTAAATCTGTTCTTTGAATGTCGGTTTTCCTGCTGGCAGAATGTGCCATGTTCCATGCTACCTGTAGGATGCCTTGAGTGCACCAGATGGCATTCTTCACGTGCTGGGGTTTCCCACAGCTGCAAGTTTCTCCATACTTGCCCAGTGAGGCTGTATTATTTATTATCTCTCTTTTTTTTTAAATAAGTATTATTTTTAAGTATTTTTGCATACTTGATAAGGGTCAAGGGCCACAGGACGGTAGATGAGATCACCATTTCCACATTCTCTTTTTTTCCTTCCTGCATCTGGGAGAAAAGGGGAAACAAGGAGAGATGACACTCGCAGCCTCTTCAACTCCTCTGCACCCTGGGATGGAGGACAGCCTCCCGACACCACCCCAGGGTCCCCGATGTGGGGCATGCTCCAAGGGTTTTGATAGTTCAGCAGCTCTGAATTACTGCTGACCTCGCAACTTCAAGCATGATGAAATCTCTCCAGAATCCACTGGCTGACATAGTCCACCTTAGAGTCTCTGCTTGCTCCAATTTTCACTGGCAAATTTGGCTAGGGTGGTTGATCAATTTGTTCTGTCCTCCGTCCTCTGTTGTGGTACCAGGTGTCTTCTGTAGGCTCCAGTGTACTGCCATATCCTCCATGTGAACCTGGGGATGCTGTCCACTGCTCCGTCTCAGCCACTGAGGAGGCCCAGCTCTGACACATGCATTCCATGGTCAGACCATGGAACCTGCAATTCTCTCCATTTCAGCTGGGGAAATCCCCAAAGAAATCTCATCTGAGGTGATTCAGACCTGATTCTCATGTGTGCTTGCTAATACTGGATTTGAATACGCGGTCTTCATGCAAGCCCGTGGGAACTGCAGTCTAGTTGGGGTGACCACAGTAATCCTGCCCCCGCCCTCATTTCCATGCTTGCCTGTATGCCAGTATGTACAGCAGATTGGTCCAGTCTGACCCACAACCCATTCAACTCTTATGCATGTCAGTAGGCATCGAAGCCTTGTTCAACCCAACCAGTCCTACTCTCTAGCCCACACATGTGCCAGCAGGTGCTACTCTGTCTAGCTATGCCAACCTCAGTCTTAGTTCTCATGCTCACCAGTGGGAGTGGCAACCCAAGAGTGAGGTGCTCACTTTTTCCCTACTGGGCCCACTTTCAGATACTGCACTGTCCAGGTGGTTCTACAGTTTAACTGGACAGATTTTGATGCTCATGCCAGCATTTGCCAGCTGATGCTGTGGCAAAGCCCAACCAACCCATACCCACTCTGATTTATGCATGCACCAGTACAAACAGTCAACCCAGCCTGGCTTTTCCCTCAATCATCTCACACGAGGCCCACAGGTATTGCAGCTCTGCCTGGCCTGGTCTGTTCCCATCCTAATTCACGCTGTTCAGTGGGAGTGGTAGTCCAGCATGGGTGCCCCGTGTAGACCCTCTACTGACTTGGCCACCCCCTCCCCCATCAGTTCTCACGTGTACTAATTGGGTGCTGTGGTCTAGTTTGGTATGGCCCACCTCGCCTCGGCATTTGCCAGTGGGTGCTGTAACCTGACTGGGCCCAGCTCACCCCCAATTCCAGCTCATGATGGTGGGGGCTACAATCTTAGCCAGCCCAGCTATCCCCCAGTCCTGGGCCTCATGTGAACTGGCAAGTTTTGTGACCCAACCTGGCCTTACCTACATTCCATTCTGGTGCTTGGATCCGCCAGCAGGTGATATTAAAATACCAAGTCATGAAGATTGAGGTGTTTCAGGGGACACATTATAGATGACAAACCACGTTTTCTGAACTGAGAAGAAACTCACACTTTTTATTTTTTTATTTTATTTTTTATTTTTTTTAAGATTTATTTTTATTATTTTTTCATTGGAAAGGCGGATATACAGAGAGGAAAGACAGAGAGGAAGATCTTCCGTCCGATGATTCACTCCCCAAGTGAGCGCAACGGGCCGATACTATGCCGATCCGAAGCCAGGAGCCTCTTCCGGGTCTCCCACGTGGGTGCAGGGTCCCAAAGCTTTGGGCCGTCCTCGACTGCTTTCCCAGGCCACAGGCAGGGAGCTGGAAGGGAAGCGGGGCTGCCGGGATTAGAACCGGCGCCCATATGGGATCCCGGGCGTGCAAGGCGAGGACCTTTAACCACTTGCGCCACCACGCTGGGCCCGAAACTCACACTTTTTATCTTTAAGTGTTTGAGTGTAGCTGACACTTGGAGCCAGCAGATCAGCACTGGGAATCTGAAAGAGCTAAAAACCCCCAAACACAGCTGCAGACAGACCTTGGGAGGAACCCCGTTTTCTAGATCCCCAAGCAGCCCTTTCTGTAGTGTAGGGAGAAATTCAAATAGACATGGGCCAACATGAAGTTGTTGTTTCTTTTTTGAAAGGCAGATTTACAGAGAGAAAGAACAAATCAGGAAGATAGCATGATTTCTGTGTGGTGTTTTTTTTTTTTTTTTTTCATCTAAATTCTCTTGAGTCCAAATTGCTATTAAAATGGTTCAGGCTGTACTTAAAATGTAAATGTATCAATTATGTAAAACATGCATTTGTAATATAAGGGGGCAATTTGGTTACTCATGTGACTGAACAATGAGGAAACTCTTTTTTGTTGTTTTGTTTTTTAAAAAAATTATTTGGAAGGCAGAATTATAAAGAGTGAGAAGACCTAGAAAGGTTTTAAAATTGCTAGTTTGGGCCCGGTGCAATAGCCTTAGTGGCTACAGTCCTCTCCTTGCACCTACTGGGATCCTTTATGGGTGCCGATTTGTGTCCTGGTGGCCCCACTTTCCATCCAGCTCCCTGCTTGTGCCCTGGGAAAGCAGTCGAGGGCGACTGGAAGCCTTGGGACCCTGAACCTGGTGGGATATCAGAAGAAGCTCCTGGCTTCTGGGTTCAGTTCAGCTTAGCTCTGGCCATTGTGGCCACTTGGGGAGTGAATCAGTGGATGGAAGATCATCCCCTCTGTCTTCTCCTTCTCTGTGTATATCTGACTTTCCAATAAAAATACATCTTTAAAATCACTAGTTCATGCTTCCAATGGCTGTAATGGCTGGCGCTTGGCCACGCCAGAGTGTGGTGTTCAGAGGTCCGTCGCGTCCTCCTATGTGTGGGACGGGGACTCGTGCACTTGAATTCCCAGAGGAATTAGCAGGGAGCTGGACCAGACGTGGAATGGGTGGAGCTTAAACCAGTGCTCACATGTGTTGCTGCATTGCAGGCAGTGGCTTAACGCACTGTGCTATAGCGCTGTCCTGAGCATAGTGCTGTGTAAGCTTAGCACACTGCTTTCCATCCAGATCCTGCTCTGGGGGTGGTGTACACAGTAACAGTAGCTCATTACTAACAGGATTCCCCAGCAATAAAACAATCGGAATAGCTGTGGGCCTTTGGGTCATGGAGTTATATGTGCACTGTGTGATGATCACTGATGTGTCTCAGGTCAGGTTGTTCTTTCTGGTTGCTCTCAGTGTGCTTAGTGGTGGGATTGTTGTGAATATGGAGAGAGCGAAGATTCCTAGGATTCTTGCCCTGAAGTCAAGCAGTGAAGTACTCACACCTTTTATATAAAACCTCATGAATCCAGTTAGTAGAAACTGTGTTGGTCTCGTTGATTCTGTTGCCATTCTCTTACCTAACTCCGCCCCCACAAATGCCTTGTGTTGGTTCTGTGTTGCAGGAGGCGTAACCCCTGCTGTAGAGCTCAATGCACTGTGTGTGACACTTAACCAAGCCAATGTATAAGCCTGTTGACCCCTACTCTCGGATGCAGTCCACCTACAACTACAACATGAGAGGAGGCGCTTATCCCCCGAGGTAGGTGTTTGGTATTTTTTGGTAAAATACATTAAAAAAATATATCCAGTCTTACATAGGATATATTCAATAGATTGTGCAGTGAGTAATGGTTTGGTCTTTGGCCCACCAAGTGTTAAAGTAGTTTTAGTTGTGGTTGTATCTTTACAATTGTGTCTTGGTTCGTTTTTCAACTGCTACCTTTGCAGAGGATCTGCACACTTGCAGTGTGGCCTGTGTTCCCCAAGCTGTGTGACTGCTGTGAGTAACTGAATTGTATTTGAAGATGATTCCTGCAACACCGTGATTATTGGCATTTGTGTATTTTCAGGTTATTGTTTAGGTATTTTATTGGAAAGGTAGCTTTTCTTTTTTATCACAGAGAAAGAGACAGAAAAATCTTCCAATCTGCTGGTTCACTCCCCACATGGCTACAGTGGCCGCAGCTGGGCTGACCCGGAGCCAGGAGCCAGGAGCCGCCTCTGGGGCTTTTGGCCATTTTCTGCTGCTTTACCAGGCCACAAGCAGAGGACTGGATTTGAAGAGGAGCAGCTGAGGCATGAACTGGTTCCCTTATGGGATGTCAGTGCCATGGGGTACAGAATTAGCCAATGAGCTGTTGCAGTGGCCTCTGTTGGGCACATTTTTAAAAAGATTTATCCCATTATTTACTTATTTTTTTTTTGTTTTGTTTTGTTTTGTTCTTCAGTTATTTATTTAAAAGAATTATAAAGAGGGCAGGAAAGACAGAGAAGGAAATCTCTCTTGTGCTGGTTCACTCTCCAGTTGACTGTAATGGCTGAGACCAGACCAAAGCCCGGAGCCTGGGTTTTCATCAGGTCTCCCATGTCGGTGCAGGAGCATCTTCGTCTGCTTTCTCAAGCACACTAGCAGGGCGTAGATCAGAAGTGGAGCATCCAGGATTTGAACAGCCTGTTTGGGATGCTGACATGACAGTGTTGGGTACTTTTTGACTTTGGAGCTGTGTTTTATGAACAGTTGCAGTGCAACAAAACATGAATTGAACCTAGAATGTCATGCATTGGAAACCTTGCTGATAATAATGCATAGTGGAAAGATTTATAATCAAAAGGGAATTCTTTGGTTCTCTCCTTTTCCTGAATAGAAGGGAGGTTAGCAGGCTAAACCATTGGAGAAATTTGTGTTGTGATTGCAAGAAACTGGGCTCAGCTCAGAGCTCAGCTCTTGGCTGTGGAATTTCCAGAAATGAGAGTATTTTCTGCAAGATTTCTTTGTTTGAAATTCCTCCTTGGGAGGCATGCGAGTGCAATCCAAGGTTTCAGAAAGTAGAGCCAGTTGTTTCTGTCTCAACCAAAGCCTAATCTGTTTTAGGTTTTGTCAGAACAGACTAACATTTTAAATTTCACTTGTTTAATATGTACTTCATTGTGTCTTGTAGAACTTAAGTGAGAATTGCCACATAATATCTATTCTATTTAAAATCCAGTTCAGATTTTTATTCAATCTCTAGATGTGTTTGTGAAGTTATTATTAAGTACTAATGTGATTGGGACCCATGGTGAAGGAAAGACATTGAATTTGCCAGAGCACATATGAGTGATTGATTACCAGAGACCGTGATTTTCCTAATCCTCTTTTATTTTTAGGTACATTTACCCATTTCCCGTTCCACCTCTACTTTATCAAGTTGAACTTTCTGTGGGTGGACAGCAATTTAATGGCAAAGGGAAGACGAGACAGGCTTCGAAACACGATGCTGCTGCCAGAGCTCTGAGGATCCTGCAGAATGAGCCCCCAGGACCCGAGAGGCTGGAGGTGAGGGCATTTGTCGGCCAAGCTGGGGAGGAGGCTGTGTGATGTCAGCAGGATGTGAGGGTGTGCGGGACAACCCTCCAGTTGCTGCTTCTGAGACACAGCAGTGACAAATATTAATTTTCATGACGTGGAAGTTCTACCCTCCCTCTCTTATTCCCAGGGTTGTGTGACGTCAGAGCAGGGTGCGTAGGTGTGTGCAAGTGTGAAGGAAAGTGCTGCCCTCTACTTTTAGCTTTCTTAAAATTTCTTAGTACTCTGACATGACTTTGAGTGATGTAATGTGGTGTGAACATGTTCAGAAAGTTGTGATTCAGTTGAGTTGTAAAGAACATGTATGGATGCGTTCTTCAGGGCTAAAGGTTATGCTCTCCAGCGTCTACTGGGATCAGTGGTACCAGCTTAGAGAATGTTCTCAAGCTGTATTTGACTGTGTATTCTTTATGTATAGAGGTGCCTGTTACCTATTGTTGTGTAATATATTAATACAAAACTTAGTGATGGTTTCAAAAGCTCCAGGAGTTTATTCTCAGGAACCTGCAGTTCAGGTAGAATAGTTTGTCTTTACTCCACGTAGCTTTGGCTAAGGCAGCTCTGTACTAGAGGATCCATGTTCAGGCCGGCTCACTCACGTGGTGGTGAGTGCTAGATGTCAGCTGGGAGCTGAACTGGGGCCCTCGGCTGGTCACCTCAGTTTCTCTCCTAGAAGACTTGTACGCTTCCTCACTTACATGGCTGAGTTCCTACAGTGGGTGTTCTGTACTTAAGCAACTAGAAGCAGCTGCCTGTTTCCTCAGGGTTTGGTTCCAGAAATTACAGGATCATTTCTGCCATAGTCTGTGTGACTAAGACCTCCGCATCTAATTTTTTTCCCATTGAGGTAAAAAAATGCTGTCAAGTCGATTGAGTATTTTAACTATTCTAAGTGTGTAGTCCACAGGGTAGGGGGAGAAACACTTTTGAATGATTGTAAGGAATTTGCGTCCATGTTTTGTTTTTTAAAGATTTATTATTTGAAAGGCAAATTTTAAAATTTATTTTTATTTATAGAGAGTAGGAGAGAGGGCAGAGAGTTGGTTTACTTCGCAGATGGCTACAATGGCTGAAGCTGAGCTGATCTGCAGCCAGGAGCTTCCTCTTGGTCTTCATGGCTGCAGGGGCCCAAGGACTTACACCATCTTCCTCTGTTTTCCCAGGCATACAGGGCTAGATGGGAAGTGGGCCAGCCAGGACAGATGCCATCACCGGCTGCAAGGGAAGTGAGATCAGATTATGTGAGGAGAGCAGAATTACAGCTAGTGTCTGGAATAAGTTTGTCTAGGAATATTCTCTTGATTCTGCACTTCTTTTTGAAAGTCAGATATACAGAGAGGAGAAGAGACAGAGAAGAGCTTCCGTTGATTCACTCCCCGAGTGACTGCAATGGCCAGAACTGTGCTGACCTGAAGCCAGGAACTTCTTCCGGTTCTCCCATGCGGGTGCATGGTCCCAAGGCTTTGGGCCGTCCTCTGCCACTTTCCTCGAGATCTCAGCATGTGCAGTGTGAGAAATTAGTCAGTAGGCTACGGCACTGGGCTCTGTACTTTTTTTTTCAGCCTAGCATTTCACTCTTTCACTTCTTTTAAAGCTGCAGCTATTAGTATTTTCCCATTTAGGATGTGTTTGCCACATAGACATCAGGGGAAATGCAAAGCAGATAGAATCTTGGGTGATCCTGTTCTTGCCTGTTGAATAGTTTTCAGCTGCAGGTTTCTGTTGGGTAGTTCTGTTCCGGAGTTAGGATTTTGCTTGTTGTTTGGCAAAAGGGAAACATTCGCGTGGAGAAGAGCTTGCCTGTTTGGCCGTGTGTTGGGGCTTGCTTTTTCTTAGCTTGTGTAGTGTCTTGCTGTCGCTACAACATGATTGGAAGTTGGTGTTGCTTGCCTGCATGGGGAAGTTCCTTTGCTTCGGTCCCACCCAGATAGAGGATTGTAACTGAATTTGTTACAGTGGTAGAATCTTCCTTTGTTGAAGAGACTTTGAATTTTTACCAGTTGCAAGAAGAATAAGATACAGAACAGTCATTTTATGATTTCTTTTTCACTATTTGCATTTAAAGGTGGTTTCCAAAGGCTTTATGTCCAGGTAAGAAGCTTGGAGACTGGGCCTGGCCTGATAGCCTAGTGGCTAAGGTCCTCACTTTGCATGCAGTAGGATCCCATTTGGACAAAAGTTCTAATTCCGGCAGCCCCGCTTCCCATCCAGCTCCCTGCTTGTGGCCTGGGAAAGCAGTCAAGGATGGCCCAAAGCCTTGGGACCCTGTACCCAGGTGGGAGACCCAGAAGAAGCTGGCTCCTGGCTTCAGATCAGCTCAGCTCTGGCTGTTACTGCCACTTGGAAGTGAATCAATGGATGGAAGATCTTTCTCTCTGTCTCTCCTCCTCTCTGTATATCTGACTTTGCAATAAAAATAAATAAAACTTAAAAAAGAAAGAGACCCGCATACCTTGTATGGGGACTTACAGCCAAAATGGCTGTGTCTCACACAGAAGGGTCTGAGTTGTGGCTTCTGGAATGAGGCTTTATAGTGTTTGGTCCCTGTGCAGGTCACCATTCCCAGGCTGTGGTTGTTGTTGCTGCATTTCAGTTGGACACTTTAGTGCTCTGCAGTCTGTCTGGGCTGCATTGCTTATGGTGCATCAGGAGACACATTTTGGCTCAAGCTTGGCCTTGGTCACTGGTTTAAGTCCATAAAAACAAGATTTGTTCGTTGCTTTTATTGTTACCGTTGGTGTGTTGTTGATTTTAGTGTTAACTGCTAAATGGTTATTCTTTTAGATGAATGGAAGAGAATCAGAAGAAGAGAACCTCAATAAGTCGGAAATAAGTCAAGTGTTTGAGATTGCCCTTAAACGGAACTTGCCTGTGAATTTTGAGGTAAGTTTATTTTACACATAGAGCTTTCTGTTGCACAATCCTGTCAGCATTCATCCTAGGAATGAATTTTTGTCCTAAATAACAGTGAAGTGTGACTAGAATGATGTTCACATGGTGTGAGGCTCCACACTTGGTTATTACAGTTTCATTTAAGGGACCAGTGTTGTAGTATAGCAGGTGGAGCCACTGCCTGCAGTGGCAGCATTCCATTTTAGCACTGGGGTGTCAAGACAGTGGGGACCCTGGCTTCTGTGAGCTTGGCAGTCACATTAATACCTTCCCAAGAGTCAACAGTTTTTTCTGATACCTGAGTGAGAGATTGCACTTGAGGTTTTTGCTGTGTGGGATGTGTTCAGATTTCTGTTTTGCACCTCTGCTTTTGTTTAGATTTCAGATTTGACTTTGAGACCTGTGTTTGGGGATATGTGACATTTAGCAGGCAATTGTTGGAGCCGCCCTGTGGTAATGAATATCTTTAAAGTAAACATTGCAAGAGGGGTGGTGGCTTTGAGTTTGCTCACATGCATCCTTATATTAAATAACATATCAGAAGGTTGATGGATACCTCTTATTTGATTGAGCAGGGCTTTTAAATTAGTTAATTAATTGGAAAGGCAGATTTACAGACAGAAGGAGAGGCAGAAAATTCTTCCATCCACTTGTTCACTCTCCAGAGGCCACAACAGTGGAGTTGAGCTGATCTGAAGCCAGGAGCCAGACGTTTCTTCCAGGTCTTCTCTGTGGGTGCAGGGTCCCAAGGCATTCATGTATTTTCCACTACTTTCCAAGGCCACAGGCATGGAGCTGAATGAGAAGTGGAACAGCCAGGACACAAACTGGCACCCATATGGGATGCTGTGCTTGGAGGTGGAGGATTAGCCAGTTGAGACAATGTTTCAGCCCCAAACAGGAACTTTATTTTCTGTTGTATGTGAAAGGTTGCCTGACAGTTAAGTATTGCATAATCAGGGAATACTTATTAAATAGACTAGTGGTAAATTGTTTACTAATTTTTGGTAGTAAAATCTCTCACTTAGGAAGGTGTTTAAGACTGGAACCATTCTTAAATTCTTTGGAAATATGTATATAGGTTGGCCTTAAAAAAGATAAAAAAGATTTATTTATTTGTTTAGTTGAAAAAATAACAGAAAAATATTTTATCTTCTGGATTACTTCCCAAATGTCTGCGATAGCCAAAGCTGGGCCAAGGCACAGCTAGGAGCTGGTTTCCCATATAGGTGGGAGCTGGCTTAGTACCTGAGCCGACGTGAGCCGTCATCTGCTTCTTCGATGCTTTAGCATGGACATGGATCAGAAACGGGACACTTGGGTATGGAATTGGGCGTCCCAACAGGTGGCTAGCGTGCTGCACATAAGCACCTGCTCCTATAGCTTGGCTTCTGAGAAATCGTAGTTTTGGTTGTATAGTTTGGTGCTGCTTGATAGGTCACAGGGAGACAGATAGCCCACCAAGGAGGGTCCAGGTTCAGAGTTAGACTGTATATGTGATTGGACAAGGGCAGTTATTTTGTTATGTTTTTTATTTTTTACTTTTGCTGAGTCATTTGACTGTAGCAGTTCTATCATCTGACTCTTAATATTTCAGTACGTATGTATTCTTTCAAATGCATTTGTATTAGTAATGGGCACACTGCATTTGTATATACTTCATGGGGATATGGCATTGCATTTTGATGTGCTTATACAGTGAATTTTCATTCCAGAGTAATCATTAATGTGCATCTCTGATGGTAAAGGATGCTTTTAAAGTAATCGCAGTCTGATTATTAAATATAGGACATTTAGCATTGCTATGTTTCCTGATACACAGCCCATATTCATATTTGGCCAGTTGTCTCATTGATGTCCTTCTGATGTCCAGTATGGAATCCAGCTTTACATTCATAATTGGCCTGTAGATCTTTTTTTTTTTAAAGATTTATTTTATTTTTATTGGAAAGGTGGATATATAGAGAGGCGAGACAGAGAGGAAGATCCTCCATCCGATGATTCACTCCCCAAGTGAGCGCAACGGCTGGAGCTGAGCCAATCCGAAGCCAGGAGCCTCTTCCGGGTCCCCCACGCGGGTACAGGGTTCCAAAGCTTTGGGCCGTCCTCGACTGCTTTCCCAGGCCACAGGCAGGGAGCTGGATGGGAAGCGGGGCTGCCGGGATTAGAACCAGTACCAATATAGGATCCCAGGCGTGCAAGATGAGGACCTTAACCACTGCGCCAGTGTGCTGGGCCTGGCCTGTAGATCTTTAAGAATTCCTTAGTCTTTCTTGAAAAGTCATGGACAAGTTTAAAGGACAGCTATTTGTTTAGATGACCCTCCGTTTTGGCGAGGGGTGGGTGTGTTTGTTTCTCCATGATTAGGTTTGAGTTCTGTTGTTTTTGGCAGATCACTATGAGAGTGATGTTGCTTTTTCTTTGAGTGTCACATGATCCATTTATCCCAGTGTTGGTGAAGTTACCTTTGCTGTCTCTCAGGTCTCCAAGGAGACTAACCCATAACCTGCAAGGGAATGCCTGCAGGCTTAGTAGGCATTGAGGATTCTGGGCAGCATTGTTGATCATGGTGGTGAAAGTCAGAAGTATGGTTTTGTGCATTTCTGTGGTGTCATTCTAGGGTCAATAAAAACTTTGCTTAATCCCCTCTTATAGTTGCTTCAAGTGAGCAGTATAGATGCATTGCTTTTAAAAACTTTTTATTTACTGGAGAAGCACGGAGGAAAGGAGATGGAGGAGGGGAAGAGATGAGAGCGGGCCCAGTGAGGTGCAGCAGCAGCATCCCAGTGCAGGCTGCTGTTTCCGTCCTGGCACTTCGCTTCTAATTCAGCTCTCTGCTAATGACCTGGGCAAGCAGCAGAAGATGGCCCAAGTGCTTGGGCCCCCAGGTGGGAGACCCACATGACACTCCTGATTCCTGGTTTTAGCCTGGCCTAGGTTGGACTCTTGTGACTATGTAGGGAGTAAATTATCATATAAAATCTTTGTTTCTCCCTTTATTTCAATGACTGATTTTCAGATAAATAAAAACAGTGGCGAGAGTGTAATCGAGTTCCCATCTTGCATCTGATGACTGATTCCCCTGATGAGAGCGACGGCTGGGCCAGGCTGGTCCAAGCACGTCTCCTACTTGGGTCATCTTCCACTGCTTTCCCAGTGCACTAACAGGAAGCTGAATGTGAAATGGGTAGCTAGTACTCACATGAGCACTCTAGTGTGGGATACAGGTTTTTGCAAGTGGTAGTTTAACCTGGTGTACCACCGTGGTGCCCTCTGTGATACATTTTGAAGTGCTTTTTATATATGCTGAGAAGTAAGGGTTGAGGTGCCTATTTTTATCTGTGTTTGGATCATTATTCCTGCACAGTATACTCACATTGCCTTCCTTCTTAAATTACCTTTATACATCCTATTTTCAGATTCTCAGAACTTTTTTACGTTCTAGTGCAACATGCTATTTCAGTCTTACTTTAGAACTTTCCTGCTTCTGCTTTAGCCTCAATGAAAATAGCAATTTCTAATAGAAATGATCTGTGACATTTCTTCAAGAACCATTCTAATGGGCTGTGGTGTATAGAGACAGGGAGGAGGGGCCAGGTGGACTTCTTGCCTTGCAACAGTCATTACTTCTAGATCCTTTTAGCAAATTGAGCTGGAATGGACATATGTATTTTTCAAGATTTATTTATTTTACTTGGAAATTAAAAAAAAAAAAGGGTAGGGGAAGATACAGATCTTCCATTTAGTGGTTCTCTCCTCAAATAGGTATAGCAGCCAGAGTTGGGCTGGTTTGAAGGCGGGAGCCAGGAGCTTCTTCCAGTCTTTCACATGGATACTGGTGTCCAAGGACTTCAGCCATCCCCTGTTGCTTTCCCAGGCTGTAGGCAGGGAACTAGATGGGAAGTGGAACAGTCAGGACACAAACCAGTCCCCCTGGAGCTGGAGCTGGCAGATAGGGAATTAGACTGTTATACCATCACACTGGTCCCAGGATATACGTATATATATATATATTTTTAAGATTTATTTTTATTATCTTTTTATTGGAAAGGCGGATATACAGAGAGGAGAGACAGAGAGGAAGATCCTCCGTCCGATGATTCACTCCCCAAGTGAGCGCAATGGCCGATGCTATGCCGATCCGAAGCCAGGAGCCTCTTCCGGGTCTCCCATGAAGGAGCAGGGTCCCAAAGCTTCGGGCCGTCCTCGACTGCCTTCCCGGGCCACAGGCAGGGAGCTGGATGGCAAGCGGGGCTGCCGGGATAGAACCTGTGCCCATATGGGATCCCGGGTGTGTAAGGCGAGGACCTTAACCACTGTGCCACCACCCCGGGCCCGATATACGTATATTTTTAAAAAAATCAAAAATTTGGGCCTGGTGCAGTAGTGTAGTGTTTAAAGTCCTCTCCTTGAATGTGCTGTGATCCCATGTGGGCACTGATTCTAATCCCAGCTGCTCCACTTCCTATCCAGCTCCCTGCTTGTGGCTTGGGAAAGCAGTCAAGGATGACCCAAAGCCTTGGGACCTTGCCACCCTTGTGGGAGACTTGGAAGAGGCTCCTGGCTTCGGATTGGCTCAGCTCCACCCGTTGCTGCTGCTTGGGGAATGAACGATCGGACGGAAGATCTTCCTCTCTGCCTCTCCTCCTTTTTGTATATCTGCCTTTCCAATAAAAATAAATAAATCTTTTAAAAATAATAAAAAATCAGAAATTTATACCTGCTTTCAGTTTACCACAGGTTTTTCCTGTCTGGTTCTTATTTCACATCTGAATCATCTTCTGACCATGTTAAGATTGTGGCTGTTGGCATCGTCCATCTATTACACGTGTCACAGCAGCAGAACTGCTGTGTGGTGTTCACAGTGTCTCTGCAGTGCTTTCTCCTTGCAGTTCTTACCTTTTCATTGACAGTATTTTGTCAAAGCATTGTGCTCCCACGTTACTTGTTTCTTTTCTGTGCTATCAGTCTACTGAAGTATGCCTTGATGT